TTCACTGAAATCGGTTGACATCCTGCATTGGTCAATGATCAGGTTTCAAACGTGAGACCTTTGCTAGGGTCATGGACCTTTATATCTGATAAAGGCATAGTTAATTATGATAAAGGTCACCCTTATTAGTATTCTTTATGCATGTGACCAAATAGGCTCATTCTATTGGCCTAGTAACTCATTAATTATGTATGAGTTTTTTAACATAATTTAAAAAGGAAAATCACCCTTGGTGAAGRGGCMAAATCAAGGGATTAGAAAACTGACTGATTACTAATTATGTAAATGATGGATTTTGGACACCAAATATACAAAGCATGCTGATATTCTTTTCACAGTTCATTACAGTTAGCTTCAACAACCCTAGCTGTTTCGCCCAAGTAAGGGGGTGGGAGTACTCCTAGAGCTATATACATGTACTTTATAGACGTCCCACCAAAAAGGTATGCTTTTTTAGCCTTTGCGTCTTGAATAGGGTAAACAATTGACCCTCAGTTGTCTTGAATAGGGGTCTAATTTCTGTTTCCATGTCTTACACAAGGTGTTAATATTTATTTTCAGGTAATATTGGTTAGACTGATTCCATAAGTCGTAGCATTTGCTCCACGATTTTTTGGCTGTCGCTCAAACTAGGAGCTGTGAGTGACAAAAAATATTGACAGAGAGGGAACTGGTACCAACTTATGGAATCAGTCTAAATATTGGTGTACAGTCATGTACTATAAAGTCAAAGTTAAAAAAGTATAGAATTTCAATTCTCCAACTAAACACACCTCAGTATTCCAGACCATTTTRCATCAACGGAAAGTGAATATTTTTACAGGTTACACGACAATTTACACATTGGATATGTCTAATCAGGTGGACAACCTTTTCAAGATCAACTGTCAATCATCGTGGCAATTAAAGCATAATAGATATTAACTATGATTAAAGTATTTAGTAACTTCATTACTTGTGATATCACGCGTTTGAGACGGGCCCTATTGCACGGTTTTACACAGGAACCCTTATTGAGTCTAATAATTCTAATATAATTCAGTTGATTCACTTTTCGACCAAGTAGTTAACTTCTAAGATTGCCGAGTCTTTTAAATCAATGCTTGTTCGACACTATGGCCGCATTACACTAATCTCACTGACGGCTTCTCCCAAATGGCAATTTTTCAGCGCTAATCAGTTCAGGCGATGTTCAAAAATACATTTTGTGTTTAGTTTATASTTCATCTCAGTGACGTAAATAAAACTTTACAAGTTAATTCTTTAACATTATTCTTTAAGATCAAAAATCGGCGCAAAAATCGCAAACTGTGAAGGGCCTCAAACGTCCAGGTGCAACTTCGAAAATAGATGGTTGAAATTTTAAAGTCGATCTTACAATCCTGTTAAAAGTCGAGTAATGAGGCTCGCAAACTTGGGAAAGCCTTCAAAAAGCTATCAACTTTTACAATGTAACTCTTTTATCAAGAAATGCCTTATCAAAGAGATGTGGACAATTTTAAGTTGGAGTATCAACCATTACAAAAACAAAACAAAAAACAACAAAAAACAACAACAACAATAACAACAACAACATGAATTTACGTCTTAGTTATCTTAAAACCTATGTTTCGGTTTTTAACTTTTTCATCATAATTTGTGGGTGGTCAGTAAGTCTTTTTGTTAGATAAATTTTAGCGGGCTGTACTGACGTCAATTGAGAGGCGTCGCAATTTCGCTTAGCCGACGACAAACTTTTAAAATATTATTATATATATCATTTGCACGCCACGCAGAATGATAAGACAAATACAAAAACATTAAATTAAAAACTATTTCAGCATGATGTGTATACTTTTCTACAGTATTTACATATATTTTACAACGAATAGTGAATGTTTACTCATCACTATGGTGATGCCGCTGGAGGGCTTCCAAAGTGCCATGCGTGGAACATTCGATCGTAAAGTAGGTTTGTTTCGATCGTTGGAAGAAAAAATTAACGTGTATTTCTGAACAGGATGTAATCACAGCAAAATGGATTTACCGTTCTGCTTTAAGAGCTTTTTATGCTGGCATTGTCTGAGTTCGTAAGTGATTGATTCGCACTGCAATGCGAGTGAAGAACGTCATGTTACACTCTATGCTTTTCAAAACAGCTTTCAACAAGATGCTATCATCATCAAGAGAAACTTCGCTACATCTTTGTGTGGTCTTTGAGTGCCTTTAACTGCAATAATGCCTGACAAAGAACCAGGCCATGCTACAAATTTAGTAGTAAGTATTACTAGTAGACAGAATAATAATTTCTGTACGAAAGTGTTGAATTGTTGCCAAACAGCGAGTTCTAGTGTTTTTTTTTTTTTTTACAATATTGTGATTCTAGACGTTTCTATCGTCAGGTTGCCCTCCGAGTTAGGCCGATTAGTTCCTCCGAGCTCGGAGATAAAGAGATCATCCACGTTTTGGAAAAAAATGTAAGTGTATATATATACATGTTTGTGGAATTCTTTAATTATCACACTGTTTACAAAGAGATGTTGCAATTACTGGAATATTGCCGAACTATAACCTCACAGCTGCTTTCAAGCACTCAAATCTTGTGTTGTTTTCGTTTGCGAAACTGAAACCATTCTCATCTCGTTTTCATCGCGTATATGTTTTTCACGTGTCATTTGTTTTCCACTTAATTACGGCTGAAACCTTATTATTTCACATTATTGCTTATTTTACAAAGCGTTATATCCTGTGAAGGGGTGTTTCAGAAAGAAGCGCAAAGCCGTCGGTTTCTCTGTAGTTGGCAGTTACCTATATTGTGCACGTTATTATGTGCAAATTTTCTAACACCTTTCCGAAATTCGTTTGCTCAGTTGTTGAGTGTCTCTTGGCGTATATAAGAGTTCCTTTGTATTTCAGCTGGGCTTCTGTTTACTTTTCACAAGAATTTACTCTAAATATATTATCTTAGCCAAAGTTTTTCTCTACTTAATTACACACGGTCATTCAGTTTGGAGTTTAATTATAGCGAGAATATTTCATTCAAATTTATACACTTTTTTAGTAAGTGATATACCAATTAAAGAAACCCTTTCTTTCCATGTACTTACCACAAGGCAAACCCCTGTCATCAGGAAGCAAGCCAATGGTGTTGCCTTGGTGATTTTCACAGGATCTTTATAACATTGTATTTTTGACAAGTTTTGAATTTATTTATTTATTCTACTCAGTTCTGTTCTTCTTCTACAAGTTCTACAATGCTCATGACGTCTAACTAGCCCCTTACATGCACCAACACCTCAGACTGCACAAAACAAAATTAAAAACAAAAAAGAATTGAATGTCTCAGTGCAGGGCTCCATGATAGAGCACCACYAATCAAATAGAAGTTTTACATCCATTTAGAAAAACTTTTGTAACCACASRGTCGAGGCATGGGACATTTTTCTACTTGTGACCATGTTTTTTAATCCAAATTTTCATCACTGATTCCAAATTATTGTTTAAATTTGATCCCTGATCCAACAAAATTTKAGTGTTCCCATGCATTTATATTTGCAAATTTTTCAGGTCAAACCCAGTGCTTGTGATCCCGATCCCAAAGCAAAAAGTATTATCCCTGCRTCAGTGTTTCTAAAGAAACAGTAATGTTGAGAAGATAAATTTAACACCGTAGAAAAGGAGGTGAAACAACTTACTTGCTTCATYGGAGGATTAATGTCCAAATCGTTAGTAAGTTGTTTCAGATCACCTACCTTTTCACTGTGTTAAATTTATCTTTTTACACAACTTTTTACCTACATGCAGACTAAATAAGTACATGAATACATAGCAGTTTCAAAAACGTTTCTCAGAAAAAGTTCAGGTCATAGAGATGATCGTTAATGATGATTTTGTGCAACCCAAATTATGGATGATATGGATTTTCAATATAAAGCATTTATATAATCTAAAACAGTAATTATAGTTTGAATTTTATGAATAATATTGACAACTTTTGTAATGGCCGCCACTAATCAGCATATTAAAGTTAAATTTCATAATGTTGACAAAAGAATACACTCAGTCAGAGAGTAGACATCAAAGCTATAAAAAGAAGTTCTGAAAGTTTCGCAGCAAAATATTGAAATCTCTTGAAGTTATAGGGTAAAAAGAGGCATAAAAATACCAAAATGAGGCCACCACAGTGCTTCAGTAAAGAATTTCATACAAATCTTTGCATTTTCAAATCCTCTTTAACTTTGTCAATATTTAGTTAGTCCGTACACTATAGTTTCAAAACTTTCTGAAAATACTGTCTTACTGTCCGATAGTTCTTCCATATTACAGTGCTGAATGTTTCGATAATTATGTCATATAATTGTTAAAAACGATGGCATATGAAAGTGTCTTTTTGGCGAATACTGATTAAACTGCATAATTATACAGCTGCTACCAAGATTGTTCATAAAAAAGCTGTATACATAGTTCCCTAGGTCTTACTATTTCCTTTTGTTAATCACCTATCATAGTTGGTAAGACTTTATTTGCCATTATTTTTCTAACTTGTTTATTTAATTGTAGTCATGATAATGTTCTGTAACTTTTTTGAGTACAAATACAACTTGGTAATCCAGTCACTTAAAGGGGACATTGAAAAGAACCCCATATTAATGGGGTTTAACAAGGCAGAAAATGCATTGGATTCGTTTCATTGCGACATCCGCCGCCTTCATTCATTGCTGCCTTTAGTATTAAACTGCTTTTTCTATTTCGTAAGTCCTTTTGTCCTTTTTTGATTTTTTCTCATATCATTACAGTATTTATAATGAATTATTGATAAGCAACATGGGTTAGGTTAGGTTTTCAATGGAGTCATACTGCTTACATAGCTAGAAACCCCTCTACCACCTTTTAACCATTGCATTAAATATTGTTTTTTTGTGTGTTACATAACCATAATCAGTATTAAATATTAAAGAGAATTTGACCAATGAAATTATCAAAAGCAATTTATGTACTAACTGTATATTGAGAACATTGGAAATATAGTCCCCAGAAATTTGTAATATAATTATAATCATGTTTGATATACACCTACTTGCAGAAACGTTGTCATAGAAAATAGAACATTAGAATTTCGTAACAAGGAATAAATTAAAACAAAACAAAAGAAAGCGCTCAGACTCAGTGATCTTCTTTTGTCTATAATTTATTCCTTTTTACTAAAATACAAATGTCCTATTTTTTTATGACAACGTTTTCGCAAGTAGGTGTATCTGACAATGTTGGTTTTTATCATTATTTAAAAGGATTAGATTAAGATATTTTCTGACTGTTTTTTTTTCTGTTTGAAACACACTGGATTGTTTGGAGATGAAGGTTTTGAAAGGGTTTGATGAGCTTGTGATTCAAAACCTTTGTGCTTTCCCAACAATCCCATTGAAGGGAAATGGTCCACCAGCATTCAATGCAGTCATGTTTTTGATTTTTCATATTATGGAAAATTAGGTGACTTCGAATATTCTTTGGCAATCTGTTTCCATCCATCGGTTTAATGTCGGATCTCACAGTATCTCCATTCATATACAGTTGTGTTAGTAAAAAGGAATAATGTAAAGAGTAAGATTTAATGCTTATGTTACGATGTATTTTTATTATTTTCAAACAAGAGCAAAAGCTCGAAAGGGATACAGTATATGCTGGTGGACCAAGTGTTTCTGAAAGAGAAAAAAAAAGGAAAATATCATTTAACTATAAAACAATTATAACAACTTAAAAGTCGTGTTTCTATGCACCTATTTATGCCCTTGCACAATCAAATCAATCAATGCGTGCATATAGTAAGTTATTTTATAATTTTATAGATCTATTTGATATTAATCAAATGAAATATTCATTCTGTTTTCATTGACATTGTTCATCTTTCAGCTTGTAGTTCTACGAGATCCAAATGAAGACCAAGATGACATTCTCAGGGTTAATAGATCAAGAGAAAAACAATATGTGTTTGACCATGCCTTCAATCCAGGAGCAACACAGGTGAGACTATGCATAATGTCATCTGTAACAAGCAGTAAAATGTTATTTTTCAAAAAAATAAATATGCCATGCATCCTTTATGTGAAGGCCATCTAGAATTGCTACAAGTCCTGTTATTATTTTTTCTCATTGATTGGCTTGAGGTAATGCCGTACAGATCGAGCGCAGCGAGGTCCGTACAAACGACCGAGAGCCAATAAGTATCTTTTCTGTACGGCCCGTCACCTAACTCGGTCAATAAGCATTTTATCATATGACAGCATTTTTTAATGTAAAAAAAAAATAAATAAAAGCACACGGAGGCTTCAAGCCAGGAAGATTCGGATTTGTACGGCCCTGTGGCGAAAAGGCATACAGCCCCCATCACGTGACCATTTCCCAAAGGTTTTTTTAGGGGCGTAAAAATATGGGTCATATGATAAATGAAGTTTGTACCCAAAGAGTGCCCCATGGAGAGTCCCCAGAAGCCAAAAATTTGACTAACATCACAGGAATTCCAAGCAACAGAAAAAAATCAAAAAAGCGAGACTTGGAGCAAGTCTAGGCTCTTCTGGATTATGCATTGTGCTAGCTCTACTGCACACTATTTTTGACCAAGTAGTAGATGCACCACTGTAATAATTTAAACTCGCTGGCTTTTAACAGCAGAAGGTCTAAGTTGCTAACCTTACCTCTTATGTGATTTAACACTGAATATAAGCCTTAAACAATGCCTATGTTCAAATATTTTTTTCAGAATGACGTCTACAATGTCACCACACAGCCTCTCATCGAAAGTGTTGTCACTGGGTATAACGCAACTGTATTTGCCTACGGTGCTACAGGAGCTGGAAAAACCTACACCATGCTCGGCAGCGATAATAAACCAGGAATCATGGGATTGACACTCAATGATCTCTTTGCACAAATGGAGTCAACCAAGGAGGATGTGAAATACAAAGTCACCATGTCCTATCTTGAGGTGGGTCAAGGGTCTTGTTCATTCTTTCATTTCCATTCATCACTTTACATCCCATTAATGTAGTACCATGGACACAAGAAAAGTACCCTCAAAAGTCACTGTGAGCATGATCAATGAGGACCTCACATGTTAGGAGTAAATTCCAACAAGCGAACTGAGTTTGAACGGTGATACATGAGCCATGAACCTAAACTTGAGACATTTTGAGGCATTGAGTCGTTTTGTCAGGTGCTCACAGTACTAAAAAGTCTATAAACCATGCGAGGCTGACAGTTTAAGATAGAATAGAACGAAAGATATCGCCTGATTTAGTAATTAAATCGAATTATAGCGTTTTGATTCCATCTTGTCTATCCATTTTCGATTGAATATCAGTCAAAATGAGATTATTTGGATTGTCTTTCATTTTAAAAAGTCTATCTAATGTAAATTTACGTACATGTAGGTCAAAATGCTAGACATTTTCTGATTTTCTGCGAACGTATTTTACAACAGGATTTCTAGTAGTCATTGTTACGTGTATTTGTTGCCTTTTTGAGTGAAATGGGGGGGAAGGGGACTTTGGGGGGTGCACCCTTGGCCTCCTGTTCCACCTCCCCTCTGTGAAATACATCATTGATAGTGTGTACATTTCGGGTTTCTAATCACAAATTTATGAGAATAAAAAAACAACAACTCAGGACAGTGTTTATTGTAAGGGCAAACAAATACTCCAGTTTCAAGATCTTATTTGTGCAGCCTTACCTCGAAAGCATGTAATATATTCTTTTATTCAGCAGAGCTGATCCTATTTTAATGCTAACACTCTGTCTACAAAGAAGACAATAAAAATTTATGCTTGATTGAAGCTAAGCTTGCACAAAAAAGACTTCAATACTGGAGTATTGTGGCTTTTGTTGCCTAAGAATGGGAGTTAGAAGTCCTTTTTGAAATGTACCTCCCACATGGACCAGTCATGATGTCAACTGAAAATTGGAAACACTTCTAGTTTGATAGAATTTCAATATTTAATTCAAATGGAATTATCTTATGTCCTCTTTTAGATTTACAATGAAATGATAAGAGATTTGCTCAACCCTGCGTCTGGTATTCTTGATCTGAGAGAAGATGCCAAAGGAGTTAATGTAGCTGGGTTGTCTGAAGTTGAAGCTAAAACAACAAGAGAGGTAAAGAAAACCCATAGAGTCACATGACTTGTTATCGCTAATTGATAAATATGTTCCTAAAAAAAACAATTTTAACTAAAGATTTGATTGTTGCCATGGTAATGCYAATCAAGCTGAAAATGGCGTCATTGAAAACTTTCTTATATGTTTAACTGATTCAAAAATGAGTTAAAAAATAAGGCCATAAATATGTTAAATGAAAATGATATCATTTGTCCAAAAAACGACTTGAGTGATCTACCTTAAATTAAACTTTGTAAAATTTCTATACTGAGAGGTCTGGGACAAGTTCCTTAAAATACAATGTTTTATCATGTTATTGAGTAAACGTTTCCAGTGGCCCATAAACTAAGCTGGACGATCTTTAGGTAGATTGATACAGTATGATTGTTGTGTGAGACTTGTAATATGCAATTTTCCTTACTGTAAGGCAAAGGATTCTTACTAAAAGTCTTAGGTTTCGTAGGACTGTTGTTAGAAAGTTACAGGGGCATTTATACGTCACGATTTGGAACTCATTTTTGTTACACATGGCAATCGGACCTTTTGGAAGACTCATTGCCCTATTGTATGATTTGGGGGACTCTTAATTCAACTCGTTTTCTGTCTGTCTGTCTGTATTAGGTGATGAGTATGTTACTGATGGGCAACAAACAGAGGACTTCAGAGCCAACTGCTGCTAATAAAACATCATCAAGATCACATGCTGTGCTTCAGGTAAAACTATGGAAAAAATTGAAGAATACATAAAACTAAAAATAAATATTTGGACGTTACTTGTCTGAATATTAATGCTGCAAGCATTAGAATTATTAAATATTGAAATTTTATTCTTGTCGTAAGTTTGATTGTAATTTGTGCTTTGTACTGATGAATAAAACATCAGTTCTTTGGTGTTTATATTGCAAAGTAGTTTTCAAATTGATTCAAATTCGCATTTGGTCCAATCGCAACAGGTAACAGTGAGTCAGAAAAGCAGAGTTGAAAATGTTATCCAAGAAATTAAAGTTGGCAAACTTTTCATGATTGATTTGGCCGGCTCAGAACGAGCTGCACAAACAAAGGTAGGAATTGCAACACCACCACCACCAACAGCAATAACAGCAACATCATCAACAACAAACACAACAAAAACTGTACCTTTGAGATTGCCACCTCCAGTTATAAGAAAAAAATGTTATAAGAAAACCTATTTTCTTCAATTTTTAAAATATAGAGCTTTTACGTCGCCTACGTGAGTTTCAATGCATTGGGGGATCAGAAGAAGAAATCCGCCATGTTTTGTCCCAAACATATTCTACAATGCATTGCGTACACGGTATATGACGTCAAAGCTTCAGAGGTCTACTTAAGTATTTTGTAGCTTAAAAAAAAAACGTATACTGCCTGAAGGATTTTGCGTTACGTGACAAGTTGCATCACACCACTGCTATGCTGATGTGACCTAACAACTGTTATACGTTGTGAAAATGAAATAGCTACTCGCAGCACTCACTTTCTATTAGAAATGACCAGCTATAGAGAAATAATGGTGACTTGTGATCTGTTATAGAATCGCGGTAAAAGAATGATTGAAGGCGCTCACATCAATCGGTCTTTGTTGGCTCTTGGGAACTGTATCAATGCTTTATGTAAGTCACAGTAGCCATATATTTATCTTAAGCAGGCAATTAAAAACAATTGCATAAAATGACAAATTAGATTTTGTAAAAAGCCGTAAATTGTACGTAAAAAGTTAGAGAACKTACTGAGGTTTCAGACTTTGGTTGTCAGCGGAGTGAAAGAGCAAATGAATTACAAACATTCTTTGCAGTAAGTTTTCTGTCTTTTTGCAGTGTGTATACATTTTTACAGCTGTTTTATTGAGTGTCCATATAATCGTCCAAATTGTCTCAATCCGGCGTTTTTAAAAAAACGCATGACTGGGAGGCTTGTATAAACACCAGTCTTTAAGAAACGCCGACACAAAAACACACTATCTTACAAAACATTAGGCTAAAAAGGTTGGGTCGTTGTATTTTCAGTGAAAAAGAAAAAAAGAAGAAAAAAAATGACTCGTAACAGTAAAATATCAAAAATATTATGATAAACTAAAATATATAATGATATATTATTTATGTTTAATAGCTGAAAATAGAGGTCATTACGTGAACTATCGGGACAGCAAACTCACAAGATTACTAAAGGTAACACACAAAAGTGATTAAATAAAATGTCTGGACACACAAAGAGCTAATATCCAAACTTTTAAACCGAATACGCGTACATACTTCTTTATTTTCTGTATCAAACTTTCCCATAATGTTCGGTTGAAATCTTAAATTCATTAAATTCATTCAGATGGTAGACATCAAATAGAAAGATAAGTTCTGAAACGTTTATAGAAAAATAATATTTAATCCTCTTGAAGCTATACGGATTAGAAGAGGCAAAAAAAAAAACCTAAAGCAGGCTACAAAGGCCTCTGCAAAGAATTCCATACAAAACTTTGTATTCTTATTCCTCCATAACTTTGCTAGTATGTAGTTTATAGCTTGAAAACTTCCACAAATACCTATTTCTGATAGTTTTCCATATGACAGTGCTGAATGTTTCCATGATAATATTGTCAAATATTGTATAAAATCAATAGTAGACACTAGAGATCAATTGCGTTTTATCTTGTAGGACTCACTTGGTGGTAATTGCAAGACGGTGATGATTGCGCATGTCAGTCCTGCTGGAAAATTATTTGAAGAAAGCAAAAATACGTTACTTTATGCCGACAGAGCAAAGAACATCAAAACAACGGTACGAGTTGTATTTGCGATTAGTAAAAATATTTGAAATATTGAAATACTTGTCCAGAATAAATATTAATCAAATTACCATAATTTCTAATACGCATGTCCTGTATGTTTGCGAAACTGAGCCGGAAGCGTTATTTTTTTAAGCCCACATGCATCCAAGTATCTTTGCATGATATTCTCACACACGAAGATTCGCCATCTTTGATTTTTAACGAATCAGAAAGCACATATCAACAAGAGATCATTTGTAAAACAAAAGAAACGATTGCAGAGGCTCATGGATGCACGTGGGTCTTTAACCGAGGATTGGCCCTAATTTACACGCCTTCGTAGGCTACTCTATTCCGTGGGATTCCTGTGTTAAGAGGCAGAAAAACGGCCGCAGAAGGGGAGGGAGGGGGAGATGGGTTAGGAAGGAAAGAAAAAGCAGTCGGTGTTCCTAATCATTAGGCACCAGTTTGTCTCGGTCAGGATAAGACAACACAGGAAGACCAAGGAGAGAAAACTCTCATTAGCCTACTAGTCTCCTTCACGGTTACCTGCGCCATCTTGAAAGGTAGCCGTGCCTTTGCATCGAAGCGAGACGACTGTTGAGCGTGCAATGATAGAAACCTTCTTTCACACCTACAGACAATTATTCACAGGTTTCTATCATTGCACGCTCAACGCTCGTCTCGCTTCGATGCAAAGGCACGGCTACCTTTCAAGATGGCGAAGGTAACCGTGAAGAAGACTATTCAACACCGGTTTGTTCAAAGGCTAAGTAGAAATAATACTGGCCGTATCCTATTTTATGAAATATGTGATTTATAATGTATGTTAATTTTGAAAAAAAGTCTCGAGTCTACGTTTCTAAGTGTCGTTTTCCTGGTCACCTCTATATCTGCAGATCAAACGAAATCAGTTCAACGTTTCCCATCACATCGCACARTACACAAGCATCATCACTGATCTCAGGAAAGAAATCTTCAGACTGAAAAACAAGATTGCAGAACAGACAGTAAACGAACCGGATAATACTGTTAGAAAAGGTGAGTTTATCTCTTGGTCGATGACACGACTAATGCCAAGAAGATTTTCTTTATTGAGAATATCTGTCCACTCTTAATTTCCAAGGAGTTGATATAACAGTCCAAAAGAGGAGTTAGTTACCAGATAACTTCCTTTTCTGAAGTAGATTTAACTCCACCAATTTTAAGTGTACATGGGGGAATAATTTTGACTCTTTTTCTAAGAGCAACTTTGAACCYTTTTGGTGTAATTTTTACTCTCATTAATATACCATTTGATTTAAACTTCTGACGAGTAAAAAACTACTCGCATTGTAAAGCAGATTTTACTCTGCTTAAAATTACACCAGCAGGTAGAGTAACATCGGTGGAGTTATTTGAACTCCTTGAAAATAACAGTTCCTTTTAAATATAAAAAGTGGTATAACAATCGATTGCTGTCGTGATTTGTATGGCAACACAAATAAGCACCGAAATTCGTACGGTGTCCAGGAACCTTCTTTCGCTGATCTATTCAGCGTCATTTGGCAATACTGCCATTTGAATTTATAGCGAGCTTAAGAATTGATTATAAGTTTAAGAATTACTTATGATTTTTTATCCACYATTCGTTTTATTTATTCCATCCTCGAAAATCCGGGTTCTGATGTGTTGCGCCTGGGGAGAATTGGGGTGGAAAGTGCTCAAACCTACCTTAGCACGTTTCGTTCCATCCTTCGTTTCCAAGGATGCTGTGATTCTGCAGAATACAATGCTTAATACGTTTTCTTTTACTCTTTTCTATTTTCATTTATCGACTTGTTTTCCAACCATTCATTTCAATTCATTCAAGTGATTCTTTGATTMTTTKATTAGACGAAGAATTCAAGCACCGAGACCACACYGAGATGAACAAGCTACGAAACCAACTAGTCAGCACCTTTCGAGAACAAATGGAAATACGGTGAGTACCACGCAAAGCATCTTGGTAGTTGTATTGAATGACGTCMTGGTAAAAAAGAGCTGTTAAGTCCGATTTAGACGGTGCAACGTTTGCCTACAACTATCGCATGCARCATGCGTCTTAAGTCATCCTTACAACATGGCTACAACTCTCGTAGGGTTATCAAACAATTTTTTTTAAATCTCTACTACAGTTGTAGCCATGTTGTAAGAATGACTTACGCAGATTGCATGCGATTGTTGTAGGCAAAAGTTGTACCGTCTAAATCGGCCTTTAAGGTTTGCAATTTTCTCAGTAACAGTTGCCATGCTACGAGTGAGTTGCATGAGAAATGCACACTGTAACATACGATATACCGTACTATATCGTTGCTAGTTACGGCAATGCGTTGCGAAATATTGGTTTGAAAGCACTCGATGTTTATTACTTTTTAACTTTTTGTCGTTGTTTCATTTTCAAATTTAATGTTAATTAATGTTATCAATATTCCGTATAAAACAATATGCAATCTACTTTTGAACCTTCTGTGGATGCGCCTGCAATCAGACTTAAACAGCGGCCGCTGTGTTGAAGTTGCATTAATAATAAAACTCTGATGATTTTGATTTCATTGAAGGCATAARCTAATGGAGCTTGAAGATGTCGCTATGCAGATAGCCATTGACACCAATCGATATATGCTGGTGATAGACGAGTAAGTATAATCTCTTCAAAATGGTGGAAACTAGCGGTAAACTAGCCTGCTTACAGGCGTTCCTGCTGAGGGGCCGAGAAGGAATGGGGAGGAGGTCTCGGCCCTCCAGCAGGAACGCCTATAAGCAGGTTAGCGGTAAACTAGTGTGAGTTGCGTCAGTGTTTCTAAAGAAACAGTTGTATAAAAAAAATAAATAAATTTAACACCGTAAAAAAAAATTAACAACTTATTATCGTATGAGGAAGTGGCTGATCCCATTAAAGAGTGCTCAATACACATAAAGTGTAGAGCTAGTTATATATATGACATCAAAGAGGCAAGATTTTGCTGCTACGCGTAGCACGAAACTCGGAGTTACCACGGAACTCGGAGTTGCAGCAAAATCTTACCTCTTTGATATCATATATATAAACAACTTATTATTATTATTAATTTTTACGGTGTTAAATTTATCTTTTTACACAACTGCAATCTCTTTAACCTTTTYACAGCCTGAAGTTATTTTTTCAGTCTGCCGGCCATTTTTTTTAGTCGGGCTAGCCATAGGCTAATCCAACAGTTCGACCTCTTCGTCAATCACTGTATCTATCTACATATCATCTATATATCATTCAATCATGCACCGTTTACTTTGGGCACCCACACTGCATCCTACACATGATATTGCCATATATCTGTTGTTTTGGTGAYCTTTGCATTCCATGAATATAAAAATCAGCCGAAGATCTTCGCTAAACCAACAACTGAAACAACCATGCCTTAATTTACGACTTGTTGAACACTTGTTCCAGTGGTTCGATTTGTTCACAAGTTACAACTATTATGGTTTCCCCTCCAGCCAACTAGGCAATATWTAGAGTGAGCAACATATCTATGRCAATGGTGTTATTATTTCTCTRTTTTCCATTATGCACTATACTAGCTAGCCCGACTTCACTCTCCTAGAGCGTCTAGAAGAGCGTCTAGAAGAGCTTCATTGTTTTAAATCTGCCTTGATATTAGAAAACGGCATTCCAATTTGCAATATACTGGCATGCGTCATGTGAAAACTACTATGGTATCTACTAATACAGTTAACTCTCTTTGAACGACCACTGTAGTAAGCGACCATCTCCCGTAAGCGACCACCTTTTAAATTTCCCGTTTTGTCCAGTTTCCCATATAAACTCTGTAAAAAWACTTTCTCGTAAGCGACCATCTCTCGTAAGCRACCACTTTTTCTTGATCTCGAGGTGTTCGCTTACGAGAGAGTTAATCAATATTTTGTTTTAATAAGGTGGGAACAAGAGAAAGCAAGACGCATTTCCAAAGCAGCCGCTGCTTCAAAACCAGTTGACAATATAGACGAACAAGATGAGTTACAAACGGACTGCGAAGCCAACAAACTCGTCGACAAAAACGGCAAACAAATATTCCGCGAAGACGACGACCACTTATTGACAGAAGCTTTAACTCTCGACGATATCGAAAAGAAAGACTTAGGAACTGAGAAAGAGAAAAGTTCCGATGATCTTGTGGACGAAAGTAAYGTTTTCGCGTTAACTTCAATCGAGGAACCAGAAGAGGTAACTTTCGCCAAAGAAGAAATAGACAATCTTGTCACAGAAGAGAAGAAAGTTGCCGAAATGAAAGCAAACTTACAAAACAGGCTTGCGCAAACACGRAAAGAAATTGAACGACTCGAGGAACTTTTGCCGCAGAAAATTAGCGGCGAGGAAAACCGTGAAATCCTCGGTTTGATTCTCAAGGTTCACGAACTGGAGATYAGCAATGCAGAGCTTCAAAGCCAAGCGTTGCTGAGAGAGAATGTCTTACGGTATAAAGACCTTGAAGTGAACAAGTATGAATCGAGGCAAAAACTCTGCGATGAAATAATACAGATGCAAAGAGCAGTGATAAATGGTGAGCTGAATGATTCAGTGATTTCTTAATTGATCGATTTCTTGATTGAATGATCGTTAGACGGACTGACTTACTCGTTGATTGATTGACAAATTGTTTGATTGTATAATTGACTGACTGCTTGACATGTTAATTGACTGATTAATACTCCAATTTCGAGTTCTGGTTTACTCTGTGTTAGCCTCAAAACCAAGTAAAATATTATTTTGTTTTATTGATAGCCCGAGAAAACGCATATGTAATTTGTGAAGAAAGACAATAAAATTGATTTTGAAATCTAGCACTTTTATTCTAACAATTAGTAATATTTTGCGCACAAATGAGGCTAACACAGAGCATGGCAAAATTCGAAATTGGATTATT